TATGTCGACATATGACGCCATGTGAATCGGGCTCTTGAACGGCAGGTGGGACCTCTTGAACGATGACAGGGGCCTCTTGAACGGTGGGAGGGGCCTCCTCGATGATGAGAGGGGCCTCTTGAACGATAGGAGGTGCCTCTTGAATGATGATAGGTGCATCGGGATTCTTTTACGGAGTCTTGGCACTAGTGGAGTGAACGAAGACGTAATGATACGTGCATGGCGTCTGATGAGTGAACCCCGTCGTGCAAGAAAAACCTGACGTAAAGCATCTACCTTATCGACCGCTGAAAATAAATTAATACATAAATCAGTAAATAAATAAATAATGCCAAAAAAGGTTATTTTACATTTTTAGTATAGTATTAAACAAATTTACCTCATTGCGTAGAGTATGAACCTCATTCTGCAACGATAAATCAATCTCGCGTAGAGTGACAAACTCATCACGTAAAGTAGATACCTCACCACGTAGCGCACCATTGTCATCGCGTAGAAAATCCACCACACCACGTAAAGACCGAATCTCATCACGCCATGCACCATTATCTTCACGTAAAGTACCAACCTCATGACTCAAAGCACCGACCTCATCACGTAACTCCCCTAACTCATCCCGTGGAGGTAGAGAACAAGGAGATAAATGTCGTGGCCTCTTTGCCGGTCGCCTATCATGAGGTGATGGTGGAGAAGAGGCTCGATGATGTGATGGAATAGGTGATGGTGGAGGTGGAAAAGAAGCTCGATCAGGTGATGGCTCCGGGTGTCGAGCTGTAGAATCGGCCCGATCAGGTGATGGCTCTCGAAGTGGGGGGTGCCCATCATCCGTCCCATCAAAAAACCGCTTACTAGCTTGCCACCAATCAGTGGCAAGCTCAGCCTCTGTGGGTTTCAGCCTATGTAATGATAGTTGGCCTCCTAACAATATAAAAGCTCAAACAAAGTTAAACTTGTACTAGCAATAACTTGTTTATATATGGTATTATTTGTGTGTTAACTTACATCATTCATCGTCATATATGGGAGTAACTCTTCCCAATCCAACATGCGGATCCTCTTCCAGGTAATAGCCCTAGGAATATCATTTGATCTTTTTATCGCATATGTCCGCATGCTGGGGAAAGCCTCAAATATCCAAATCTACAAACAATATAATACACAAACATTAGTAATTGTTAAGTAATTAATTATAATTTTGGAAACATTATATAGAAATTCTTACCTTAAAGGCTAAAGTAAAGCTTGTCAAAGTGAATTTAGAACCATCGCCCCACAAGCTTTTTCAGTCCTCAAAGGCAGACGGCAATTTCTTCCAGGTAGCTTTCCATAGATATGAACCCCACGGAAACATGTTCCATGCATTTAGGTCCTCTACCAATAATATTAGGTCCTCAGAGATAGGTTGTCTGCCCTCTTTGCCTAAAATACTGGCATGCAAAAGTAATAAATGGCATACTCGGACAACATCAAGGTCATCCATCCGAGTAAAACCATCTTTAACAAATAATCTCTTCAAGTTGTCGACGTGTAAACTAGGCTTCGACTTTGCCAGCTCAGGAAAAACCCGAGATAACCATGATGGGCGGGAGATATGAATAGTGTATCGGGTTACTTCAACGTGTCCTAAGCGTAGACCAGTGATTAAGCAAAACTCCTCCCGCCCAAAACAAGTATACGCCGGTGCCGGAGGAAAATGAAACCATATCTCTTCATCATCACGTTGTATCCTCTCAGGTAGATCGTTAGTCATGGTCTGAAGAAACAAATGTGTCAACATAGCATCTCCACCCGTATGTTGTACTTTCATCCATGGCCCGAAACAAGTATCCTCAAACAATTTTCTTTGTAGAGGTGTAAGCGTCAACACAATTTTAGTGGCTAGGCTTAATTTATTCCTTAAGGTCAATGCAACCGAAAAAAATTTCTACAAAAACAATAAACATACCAAGTTAGATATACCAAAAACTACAAATTATACACTATAAACAGACATGATATTAAACAGTGAAAACAAAGCCAAATATATTTCAAACTAGCACGGTATTCACATGTTGTCATTATTCCATCATAGTTCACAAAATGCATCAAATAACATTATAGAAGTAAGAACTTATATAAACATTTAAAAGGGCAACATATAGGTGTAGTGCAGGTTCAAGGACAACATAAAGAGTAGTAGTTTATTCTTGAAACCTAAATTAACAACACTGTGAAGTTAGTATTTGTCTTTGTTTTGTCTTTTTGTTGAAGAAATGTAATTCATTCAAGTTTCAATTTACAGAATAAAAGTAGTTTCTGAAACTTAAATTCGCAATGCGAAACTAAAATCGCGTTGCGATTTTCATTTTCGCGTTGCGATTTTGGTGTTGCGATTTTCATTTTCGTGTTGCGAATTTAAGTTTCAAAAACTATTCTTCTGCAAATTGAAACTTGAATGAATTGCATTTCTTTAACAAAAAGATAAAACAAAGACAAATACTAACTTCATAGGGTTAAAGACTAAACAATTTAGCAGTATTGGCAGCAACCAAATGAATTTACTAAGCAATCTCAGTGAAATGGTTAATCTTTATATATATTGAAATTACCAATAAATTTATCATCAATATAAGAAAAATCTAATAATAATACAAAAATTTCAAAATAAAAATAAGAGATTAAAAAACTAACCCTCGGTGATTGATTTTCCATTTATGACCGTGAATGGTTGTGAGGGTTGCTCTGAGAGATGGAGATAGACGGATTTTGCCAGAGATGGGGATGGATTTCGTCGGAGATGGGGACGGATGTCGCCGTAGAGAGTGAGAGATGGAGATGTATCTGAGTTGTGATTTAGGGTTTTAAGTTATGATTTGCGATAATGATGTTTACATTTGTGTTGCGAAATTAATATTGTGTTTCGCGTTGCGAATTTGAAATTCAGTGTTGCGAATTTGACTATCGCGTTGCGAATTTGACTTTTGTGTTGTGCGAATTTGCCTTTTGTGTTGCGAATTTGACTATCGCGTTGCGAATTTGACTTCTGTATTGCGATTTACAAATTCGCGTTGCGATTTACAGATTCGCGTTACGAATTTGACTATCGCGTTGCGAATTTGACTTTTGTGTTGCGAATTTGACTTTTGTGTTACGAATTTGACTATCGCGTTGCGAATTGGAAACTGGGTTGCGAAATTGGAGTTCGCGTTGCGAATTTGTTGGTCATTTTGGCAAATCCAAAAAAAGTTGGTTAAAATCGTATATTATAAGGAATTTTCGGTCACTGAGGTTATTTTCTCTATTTATAAATAACTTAAAACAATAATATAATTCATTTATACTATATAAAATTCATTTATTTTATATAAAATTCATATTTATTATATTAATCGAAATCGGTTAATTAAATTAAAATCTTATTATTTTACTTTTAAGTGAAAATCAGAAAGAAAAAATGATGCTAATATATATATAATATTAAACTTCGTCATCTATTTATATTCATTAAATGATTATATTTTTATATAAAATATATTATTCGTATTCATTTAATAAATAAATATTTTTTATATTTATTTATTTAATTTAATAAATATAATATAAACAATTAATTAAATATTTTGTTCGATTATGATCACATAGTAAATAATATTAAATTGATCTAATATAATATTTCTGTATTTAGTTTATAAAATATTTATCTATATTATTTTATATCTTATAATATTTACATATGAGATATATATATACACACACCTTTAAGCTTTTAAGAAGTTTTTATATTAATTTAAATGATAGACGCCCTAAATATTTAGCGTAGAACTTTTTAGCATAAGCCTAAATAACAAGGAACTTGACGTAGTTTTCATGTATTATATTACGTGCGTCCCATTTATTGATCGAACCTGAAAATGCTGCAACTACGGTGCCGTGTTTCCCAAATTTTGGGCGTTTTCCTTTTAAAAACATAGGATAAAATACATTTTAGGTCCTTATATTATGTGTTTTGTAATAAATAAATCATTTTAAAAAATATATAAAGGTAAAAATGTTGAGACGAAGCTTTGGAAAAAAGTTACTCATATAAGACAGTGAGATCATTGTCTTTTGAAATAGAATGAAATGAATAGTAAAGAGGAAGTTGATCGAATCATTTAACGCATTTGGAAAATTGGTTGAAACACTCAATATTTTTAAAATTTTATCTTTAGCAACATCTGATGTTTTTGATAAATCAATCATTGTGATTCGGTCGTATTTAACTATAGTAAATAGGGAGGCTAGCCAAAATGTTAAGGAGAAGATAACTTGAAGATGAAGATAAAAAGTTTGAAGACGTCATGGTGGTTCGACTGACTTCTGATGTCTGCTGTAACATCTACCCTAGATCAAAATTTTTTTTTTTCCAACACCCAGTAAGATAAAAATTTTCCATCCCTTATTTCATCATTTTTGTCTACTACAAACATATCATTACAATAAAAAATATTATAAACATGTCATTTCATCATTAAAATTAAGATATTATTTTAATATAACTTAATATAATAATATTTTTAGTCCTCAAAATTTATATATTGTATATTTTTTAAATTTTATTTTAATATAATTTAGTAAATTTAATATTTAATATTTAAATTTTTTATCAATTTATTTTTTTAATTATGTCAGTTTAAACGAGTCTATTAATTAAAACATATAAAAATTGGCGTTTCTAAAAGAATAAAATTATGAGAAGAACAAAGATAAAATTAATAAATTTTTAATATAAAAAATTAAAAATTTATTAAATCACTTTAAATTTGAATTAAACTAATAAATTATATAAAATTTAAAAATTCAAACTTTTATTATATCTAATAATATCATCACTTCCTCTGATATTTATATGTTAATTATGTATTTATAATAATATTTTTTAATAAATAGAATATTTTAATTAAATTATATATTTATAAAATTTGAAAATATTTGTACCCTAAAATATATCTCGCGGCATGGCCTGCAAATTAAATTCATTATTCAAAAAGAGAATAAAGAACCAAAAAAAAAAAAAGAAACAAGAAAGTAGAGAGAATTGGCCGCTGGGAGAGTAGGAGTAAGTCGGTGAGTCGATACTCAATAGATGGTTAAGAAATCGAAAAATGGCGGTGGAAACGAATTTCGCATCATTGTTTGAGAAGCTGAAAGTGGAAGGTCCATGGCTCCCTCCTCCAACCTGGGAATCCATTCCTTCTCAAAGCGGCCCTCTTCCTCCTCTTCCAGCATCTCAATCTCCCATTTCCTCCTCTTCATCAGTCTACGTAAGCCTAATCTCTCTCTCGATCATTTATATGTATGCATTTTTAGATCAATTTTACTTATATATTTCAGCAACATACCAACCACGACATTGCCAGGGTAAGCTGTGATGTTTTATTTCCGTTCTAGAATTCTTATAATTATTGTGGTTTTTAGTTTTTAAATTATTTTTTAATTAACTGTTTTTAGTTAACTGATCTGATAAGAAATTTAAAATTAAAATATTAACAACTCTTAAAATATTACATAAATTTTGTTTTAAATTTAAAAAAAAGTCGGAATGTATGTTAAGTTTGAGTTTTTAATTCTGATATATACTTTTCAAAATTTACTCATTAGGAAGCTCAAAAAATACTAGCTAAAGGCCAGTAGCAAAAAGAATAACCAAATACTTGTTTGGATTAAGATTCTACTTTACTGACTGCTTTTATGATTTAATTAACTGGTTTCTTGGCGAGCTGGATCTCTAGTTTTGCATACAGCATCAAATTGTTTTAGTCAAGTAATCATTTGTGTGGGTTACAGAGAAATAAGAAATTGGAAATTTAACTGGAATGAGCTCTGCTGCAATTGTGCGGTTATCTATGAAGCAGACACTTCTATCAAGGGAGTGTCCAAGTGTCGGACACATCAGATTATATGTTGGACATGAGGGCTCACGTCAAAAAAAGTCGTACATAGTCAAAATATAGAAAAGTATCATTTTTATGAAATATATATATATTTTATGTTGTGCTCTGCCATACCCTTGTCTTAATTTTTTTTTAATAAATATTTTGTTGCTATGCCTGTGTCATGGCATAGCATAGCCATATTACACTGCAGTTATCAATACTTCCTAGGTGCTTATGGATTGTGCAAAGCTATGGTGTTTTACTCCTCCCTCTCTTTAGAATGCAGACTGTGCTGTTTATCAGCAAATTTGATTTATAGGAGGTCTATTTTTAGTCACCTGAAGAATGTTTACTCTTTGAGACTATAATGATAGATGCTGGGTTCTGGTGATCCTACTTAAAAATATGATCAATCCATATACATTATTTTTAAGCTGCAGTCATCGATTTTATTTCTTTATATTAATTGTGATGCCATTTTTGTACAGGAGGCAACTTTGGTGAGGTTGGCACTGAATGCACTGCAAGGTGTAGAATCATCTCTTTTTAGCATTGAAAAAATTTCTGCTGCCTTTTGTTATGATCCTGCGGATAGGACTTTCCATCAAACACCTAGTCTTTGGTATCGGTCTTCGAGCACTCATGCTCTGGGGAAGATTCTCAAATCAATAGGATGCTCAGGTTTCTTAGTTTTCCTTCTCCATAAGTTTGTAGATTATTTTACAAATTTGAATCTCAATGGAAATTCATTTTCACCACAAAAGGGCTGGGAAAGTTCTCAAGCAGCAGATAATCAGAATCATGGTGGCCGGAAAGTACAAGCGGAAGAGGGTCCTAAATATAGCCTTGTTAATCAAGCGTTCTCTGTAGCTGTAGGAAAGGTTTTGGAAGGGTACATTTGTGCATTGGACACATTATATGAATCAATAAATGTAAGGCGTTCATCAAAGAGTAGTGAAGTTTCTGCAGGTGTGTCTTCTGGCTGTCTCACAAGTGTAGTCTACTCTGAAATTACACTATTGGAAGTATACCTGCACACAAAGGAATTGAGGACCCAGATTGAAGCCCTTGGGAATATATGCAACCTGCATAATTTAGCTCTTTGCTTCTCAGAATCTTCTTTTGAAGAACTAAGTTACAAAGCAACGTTGGGATTTCATAACTTCTTCAGGGGAGGTGACCTGCTTAGTTACTTGTATACACAGTTAAAGGTTAGTTTAATTGACCTTTGAAAAATGGTTAGTTTAATTGATTGTTGTATTGTTGATAATTTTACTAAAAATTTTAATTTCAGTTAATTATACTCTTTAGTCTTTATATTGGTCAAGCTTCATATCACTATTGGATAAACTGAATTTATTCAGCTATGACCTCTAGAGTCTAAAGCCACTATATATGGTGCTCGATTGGTTGACAACCAGACTTTACAAGTTCTTTTTTGCTTCAACTTATTTGCACATCAACATAGGAAATTTATTAAGAACCAAAATATCCTATTAATGAGCAATATTTTTAATTCATGTGGTTCTGCTATTAACATTCAGTTAGCCAATTCTTCTTGTAGGTTGCGGACCCTGCTCACGGTGCTTTACTCAAGTTTCTCTTTCTTCGGTCATGTGAACCTTATTGTGAGTTTATAAGGTCATGGATATTTAAAGCTGAGATTAATGATCCTTATAAGGAATTTGTTGTAGAATACATTGATACATTACAACATTCTTCCTCTGGTAAAGCTGGCATTTCAACTGACTTTCCAGTTGCTAGTATTACGGTAATAGATATTGAGTGGTTTAATTCATTATCTTTAAATATTTTACATTTTTAGTCCTCTGTCAATAGTGATCCTCTTAAATGTGACTATTTGTGTCAGGAGCGGAATGGAGCTGCTGTTCCATGTTTTCTGAAGGATGTTTTGATTCCCCTTATCAGGGCTGGTCAGCAGCTTCAAGTTCTAATGAAATTGCTTGAATTGCGTAAATATGTTGATCCTGGAGACTATACTTATTCAGATTTTCTTCCTTGCTGGAGTGGGTTTGCTGGCAGTAATCCGCTTTATGCTTCTTCAATCACTTTTGGCAAAGAAAATATAGAACCCTTGGTTCTCATGCGGAGTAGTTACTATGAAAGGATGGAGCAGAAACTTGAAAACTTACTGACAGGGTTGGAATTCAATTATCAACAGGTATCTCTATACTTTTTTTTTTGATAGGAATAATAGGCCTCATTAAAAAACCTCCCTCTTAGTTAGCTCTTGGAAAGAGTAACTATCGGAAGGAGGAAAAGAGTGCCTTAGTTTATTGAATAGAGAAACTATTACAATAAATTATACCGATACAATTAGGGCATCAGAATAAAACTATAATCTTAAAACACCCTATAAAAATACCCTTACAATCAACCAATCCCATCCTTAGCTAATTTATCTGCTTCCCAATTACATCCCCTAGGAATCCATCGAATAATAATCGCCCTCTCATGAACTAAGGACACAATATCCTCAACAAGTGAACTGAAGAAACTAGGAACATAATTAGGCAGCAGAATCCAGTCTACAGCAGATTTACAGTCACTTTCTAGGATCAATCTTCCCTTTGCCGCCCAATCTGATGATAGGAAAATGTCTAGGCCTTTCTTAATAGCTTTTAGTTCAGCCAACGGAGGAGGGCCTGGACCAATACTAACAGAGAAGGTCGATAGGATAATGCTATTACAATCTCTCAAAATACCTCCAATTCCTCCCTTCATCCCATCAGACTTGACAGCCCCATCAACATTAAATTTGTAAAAATCTGTTGGGGGAGGCTGCCAACTTTGTTTCGAACTCCTATGAGTATTATGGTAACCAAACCTGTCTGCTAGAGAGGGGTCCCCTACCAACAAATCAACTTGAATTTGGATATTAGGAAACTTTGCTAGAAACCATCTAGCCAACCTAAATCTTATTAGGAAAAAGAGAGAGGTTATATCAAGGCTAGAATTTTCAAACACTACTGAATTCCTTGCTTTCCAAATAGACCAAAGAACTACACCCAGAATGAATTTCCAAATGTTCGATTTTCTGTTTAGATCAGACCATGAACTTGGCAAAACTTGTGGATCATTAGGCAAAGTTGTATAGATGTCCCAAATCTTCAACATTCTGTTCCAAATATCCCCTGCAACTGAGCATGAGAAAAAAAGATACTGGACTGTTTCTTCATTATTTTTACATAGTGGACATAGTGCGTCTTCCATAGGAACCCCCCTTTTCGTCAGCTCAATTCTGACTGCCAATTTCTTGTGTATGATTTGCCAAAGGAATGTTTCTACTCTAGGGGGAGCGAAACCTGACCAAACCCATCTTTTCCAAGAAAAACCACCTCCTTGACTATTTGATAGAGCCACCCTGCAGGATTTCACCGAGAACAGACCATCCCCCTTCCCAGACCAAGAAAGAAAATCCTCCATTGAGTCAGATAAATTAAAACAATTTAATGCTGCCATTAGTTCAATCCATTGATCCAATTCCCAATCACATAAGCTTCTTCTTGTTTGAACATTCCACACCCATCCATTTACATCAAAGCAACCAAAATCAGCCACCTTACCCCTTTTATTGTTTGATAATGCTAATTCAGTATAGAGATTCCTAAGTTTCTTCTGTTCTTCTGACTTCCATTTTGGACCTAGGCACCAGTAAACTCTATCTGGAATTATCCTTTATACCTGGGAAACTTTTTTTTCTTTTCTTAACCTGGCTTTAGACTCATTGATAAGCTCAAGTTGTGACATGTTGGAGGTTACATTCATTGAAAATGGGCAATTGTTATGCTTTTTACTGTTTAGGTCATTTCGCATTGTGCCGATGCCGACATCATTTCTTTGGTACTAGCGGAAGCATTGAAGATTCACTCACAGTGGATGACAAATTGGTTATTAATTCGACAACAGAAGGAAGTTTCTCTAATGTGTAATCTTTCTATTGCTCTCTCTGTGTTAAATAATTGAAGGGTGTCCTTGCATACATCCAATGAAACTTTTTCCTAAGGATTCAATAAGACCAATGATGCAAGAAATCACGCAGACTTAAAATTATTTAAGTGGAAAAAAGTTTTCTATTCTATAGGATTGATTAGGTAAGAGAACATTAATCTTTGATTGCATAAAATTATTCTCAAGTGCCTAGGAATTTTATTATTTTGGATTGAAAAGGTTTAATCTCTATGGTGATTAAGAGGCTCAAATTCAGAGGTTTTCTTTCTTGTATATAAGGATTTGAGTTTGTAATAAGAAAGTCAGGGCCCAAAATATTTCTTAGGGGTATGGCTATGACCATTTCGTGGGAAGACTTGGTTTGGAAGTTATTTTGTCCTGGTATTATGGGCATTGAAAAAGCTGTCAATACTGTCTACTTGATTTAGGTCAAGGTTTGGAAAACAAAATAAGGATCAGTTGCAGGTTTCTAGCGCATTTGCAAGATTTAGAAGAAAAGATTAAAGACCTTTGTTCTAACTAGGGCCTAGGGATACAGCTTCTTGGTGCAAACTCAAAAGAACATGACTAGAACTTGATTTTTCATTATCAACATGTTTAATTTCTTGTATATTTAGTTAATATTTGATTGTTACCTGATTTCTTTGATTTTTCAGGTCTCTTGACATTAATGATTTTGATGACTCTAGTACAAAAGATGGATCCTATCATGAAACTGATATCTTTGAACCATTTGAGTGTTCATCTATGAGTAGTGTTGAAGAACATACTGAGTCTGAGCAGTTGATTGAACACTCTAATAATTTAGTTTGGCCTAAACAGAATTATTTCTCTGCACTAAGCTTTTCTGTTAGTACCCCAGTTAGTAACTCAATGCAACAAGCTTTGCAGAATGGAAAGTCTGAATATATGGAAAGCAGTATACAGGCTGAAAGAACTGGTGGGCTTGGCAGTTTTGTAGGTTCTGAACCTGGTGGGATATATGAGCACTTACACCTCGAGTCAAACTGGTTGTGTGCAGAAGCTGAATCTGCAAATATTCTACCTTCTAAAGGTTTTCCAGTTAATGGTGCAAGGTTTAATGCTTTTTATATTGATGGGGATGACAGAGATGATAAAATATTAGGTCAATGTGATTCTGGAAAAAATACGAGAAAATGTAACACAGTTCTTTGATAAATTTGTGCAACATTTTAATGAATCAATTGCTATAAACAATACTTCAGCAGTGGACCTCTCAAATGAGGGTCGACTTGAAAAGGAGTCTACTTCAGGGTTATTCCAATTGCAACAGTTTGAGCTTACTTGCAATGGCAACCTTTTAAGTAAAAACCCAATGGCGACAAACATTGGTTTTCTAGGTCTCATGAACAAACCTGGTGACTCAAGCAGCATACCTTGTTTTGATTTTTCTTCAGTTGATGACCCTTGTAAGGTTTATGTCAAAAGGCTAGCTTCTGGGGTTACACTTGAATTTCCTGAGAATACCTATTCCGTGACAAATGGTACTGGCAATTGGGATGATAAACAAGGCTATGGAGGAGATGTTCTCTTGATTGACAATTCAAAAGGTTCTCATGCTGTTCCAACCTCGGAGTTAAAGAAAATAAACCAGGATGTCATTTCAACAACTGTTTCTGGTGGAAATTATTGGGAGAGTTTGCTTGGTAGTTCTAGCACCCTTTATAGTAGTAGCACTGGAGATATAAAACTGAATACATTGTCCACATTTGAGATACCACTTGATTTTGTAATTGACAAATGCCTACTGCAGGAAATCTTGCTTCAGTATCCCTGCTCATAGATGACCATATTTTCCAAATATTCTTTCCTTATGTTTGTTTATTGGTGCTTGGTATAAGGCCCAAACCTGAATTTCATTCATATAGAATGACTTGTTTCCTGCATTTACAATATCCTTTGCTATTTGATTTCATATGATTATAGATCATTCTGAAGTGGTTTGTTCTAGAAAAAGTTGGGTGTCTATTTAATATCCAAGAGAAGATAATTGGTGATATACTTTAGTGTTTGTTACAATATATGCGATTTAAAATAATATATTCATTTATCATGGAAGATGGAAACTTTTCTTACTTCTCCAGTCCCCCTCCGTCACCCAAAAAGAAAGTCTGTGAAAGAAAAAAAGATAAAAGAGCTTTACTTTGTGCCGAAGTCCTATAGTTATATGTTGACAAATTTTATGTTGGATTGTGTTTTTTCTTAATTATTTAAGATATAACTATGTCAGCAAGTTAACCATCAAGATACTTGAAGAAGGTTTTGATTTGCAAGAACATTTGTTGGCGCTGCGGCGATATCATTTTATGGAATTGGCAGACTGGGCAGATTTGTTTATTATGTCCCTTTCACGTCATGTATGTCTGTCTGTTTTATAGTCACCTAAATGCTTTATTATTTGAATACTGTATTCTTTTTCAGAAAGATAGAAATGAATACTGTAACAGAAATGGTGTGTTACAGAGGTGGAGCGGAGACTCTCTGAAATTCAAGGACTTCTCGAGTTATCAGTGCAGAGGTCATCTTGCGAAAGAGACCATCATAAAGATAGGTTATTTGTATACGAAAAAGGGCATGGGATGATGCCTCTTTCAACTTCTACAATTGGTACAATTTATCATCAATTCATTATTGCAAGTCTTATTTATTTCTCAAAGCTTTTGACGTTCTCAGATCCTACCTTTTCCCTCTGCTCCCACTTTCAACCTCCACATTAGAATTAATTTATCATCTTAATTTCTGATGGCTGTTAACATGGCAGGTGTTCATTCCTTCTACTTTTTAGGTCTGGGTTACCGAGTGGATTGGCCTGCCAGCATTATTTTGACTCCTGGTGCATTGAAAATATATTCCAATATATTCAACTTTCTGATACAATTGAAGCTTGCTGTTTTTTCATTGACTGATGTATGGTGTTCATTAAAGGTACACGAGATATGGCCATTTACATTTGCATATGTATGCAGACTAACATATATGATATTTGGTAACAATTTCCTTTTCCCTTGAAAGCCACAGTAAGTTGATGCTTAATTTCTTAAGACAAAGCCAGTTGTCTTCATTCTTCTTGGGTTAAATATGAATATTCTAATTTAAGTTCTGTGATTCAACTTCTCTCGGTAAGCGTTGGTAAATTGCGCAATGTTCATCTATCTGGATACTGTTTCTCAGTGCTAAACTGAAAACTAAATCATCTTTAGTTCAATCCAATTTATTGTGTACTCCATATTTTGTCTCATCTGATCCACACTGTTCTCATAACATTGAATTTGCATTCACAATCTTTATATTGTACTTTCTGCGAATTAGTACTTGCGAGTTGCGACATGAAAGACTGGATTTTGACACTCATGGAAATTCATATGAATTCACCTTTGATAATATTTAAATGTTTGTTACAGGATGTGGTGCAGTTGATCTGTCAAAAACGTCATCGTACACTACATGAACGAGAAGTGGGCCATTTTAACATGTTAATGAAGTTGAGGTATAATCAATTCTTCTACCTTTTAGTGTTTTTTATTAACAATAGTTATTAATACTATTATTGTCTCAAAGCAAAAACATTTCTCTTTTGACAGGGAACATTTCCTTAAAATTTAGATTAGAATTTAGCATTCACAGACTGTTAAGCTAATATTTTATTTCTACCTCCTTCCTTGACTGCTGACAAGCATGGGCGGATAGGGAGGATTGTCTTATAGCTTTATTTTAAGAAGTGGAGCTTTCTAAATGGTATTCCAATCTTCAAATTTTGCTAAAAATGTGAAGGTTCTTACGTGCAGTGACCTTTTTTGTCCCATTTTCCTTAAAATTTTGGTGCGACAGTCAATCTATTTTCTAGTTTAAGAAACACACACCGTTTCTTCATTTATAGATTACCTGGAAGACAGTAAAGTATCTAACGATTCTGTAGGAAAATAGAGAATTAGCCTAAAAGAGGGAGAATGAATTGGAATTTCTGCTTTTTGACGATCAAAATCTGTAGGTTATGAGATAAGTCTTATTAGTTAGTAATTTAATTTAATACTAACTCTTAGAAAGTTAAATAGATATGGATAACTACTAGGTAGTTTATTTCTAGTAGAAAACTTATTCCTAACTTTTCCTATAAAAGCAAGATGTACTTTCACCTATCAATATACGTTTAAGACTTTTCTCTTCTTCACTATGTTGATTACTCTTTAAACGACATGGTATCAGTTAGGTGAGCGATCCTTCTTCTTAACCCTCGCCGATCACTTTTTTTTACCCTAACCCTAGTTGCCAACCACGACTTCTGCCTCTTCTTCATCGGATGTCACTTCGGCAATCCTCGTTAATTCGTCCAGTTCGAACCTCTGATGTTTCTTCCACCTCTATCACAGGTAGAATTCCTTATGCTACTTTGGCTAATAAATCCGCCACTCCTACTTGAATTATGTATTATGGTGCAAGTGATCATATGACAGGTGATCTTCGGCTCTTTCACACTTTTCATGCCGACTCGTCTATCTTTCATATTCGAACAACGGATGGTTCTCTTTCTGGTGTTGCCGCTTATGGGTCTATTCAAATAAATCGGGCAATTTTTTATCTCATGTTCTTTATGCTCATAATCTCACTTGCAATCTATCTCCATTAGCAAGTTGTCTGCCAATTTATGCTGTACTACGAAATTTAACTTTGATTTTTTGAATTTCAGGATTCGAGCTTGGGGAAAGTGATTGACAGTGCTAGACTGTAGGGGTCTTTACCTGCTTCCAACAACTTTATTTTCCCAACCACCTACTTCTTTCAATGTTATAAAACAATTTCCTTTACTTGAACCTTTAACCGATGTTATGTTATTGCACTTTCATTTAGGTCATCCTAGTTTCTTTATCTTGTAAAGTTGTTTCCACATTTGTTTGTCAATAAAAGTCCTAAATCTTTTTCTTGTGATATTTGCCCACTTGCTAAACAAACTAAGAGTGTTTATCTACCTTCTTCGTATAAACCGTCCAAACCATTTATCATGATCCATAGTGATATTTGGGGACCATCCTGAGTCGCATCTTTACGTGGGTTTCGATGGTTTATTTCATTTATTGATGACCACACTCGTACTACCTGGACCTTTCTCATGAAAACTAAATCTGAAGCTTGTGAAATATTTAAACGGTTCCATAAGATGGTTGAAACCCAATTTCAATGTGCTATCCAAATGTTTCATTATGACAATGGTAGTGAGTATTTTGCCAATGTTTTGGGTTCTTTCTTTCAGAAGATTATTCATCTTACTTCGTGTGTTAATTCTCCTAAAATATGGGATTGGTGAGCGAAAAAACATGTATCTTCTTGAGGTTACTCGGTCTCTTCTTTTTTCCAAAAATGTTCCTAACTATTTTTTGGGGAAGCCCTTTTAACTATCACTTATTTGACTAACCGTCTTCCTAGTAAACCGTTACAATTTAAGTGTCCAAGAGATGTTTTTCTTCAAATTTTTCCCAATTTTAAACTGATGACTTCATTGTTACCCCTTAGAGTTTTTGGTTGTACTGTGTTCGTTCATAACAATGTTCCTTTCAGGTCCAAATTAGATCCTCGAGCATGTCGATGTGTGTTTCTGTATTATTCTTCGACTCAAAAGGGCTTTTGGTGTTATTGTCCTTGTACAAAGAAATTCTTTATTATCATAGACTTTACTTTCTTTGAAAAAACATCTTTTTCCTTAAAACTGCTATTCAGGGGAGTCATATAATGAATATCAGTTTGTTGACTCACAATAATTGTCACTTGATTTGCATCCAACCCCTTTTGATCAGCACCACCAAACCAATCAAACCAGTCAAATCAGCCTACAAAATCGCTCCAGCCAGACCAAACAACAATATATCCTTGACAAACTAGCCCACTGGAACATACTTATCTCAGCATGATCAACATATCACTTTGCCTCAAATACCTCAATCCGAATTGTTGATTTACAAGAGAGGACAAAGACCAATTTCTAAATCAATCCCCGAACCTAATCTCGAGTCTCTCACACAGTATGAACACTGTCATGAGCCGGAACCGATCGAGAATCCTTTGGAGAATGAAGGAGGTAATCAGAGTTCTTTCACTGAATTAAATGTTTTAATTGATGATAACGACTTGTTGATTGCTCAAAGGAAATGAGTAAGAAAATGTAGAAATTATCCAATTGATAGATTTGTTGCATATGGAAAGCTAACACCTTGTTTTAAGAACTTTACAGCCAGTGTAGATAGCATTATTGTTCCATATACGGTGGAAGAAGCATTGAAAGATCCCAAGTGGAAAAAGGTAGTATAAGAGGAATTAAAGGCACTGAAAAACAACAATACTTGAATTATAGTTGATCTTCTAAAAGATAAAAAACTAGTCGGTTGCGAATGGATATTCACGGTAAAATACAAAGTTGATGGTAGCATTGAAAGATATAAGGCGAGATTAGTGGCAAAAGGATTTACTCAATCTTTTGGAGTTGATTATCATGAAACGTTTGCTCCGGTAGCAAAACTAAACACTGTGAGAGTGTTACTATCATTGACAGACAGCTAATCTAGAGGCAGATGCCCTAGCTAAGACTGGAATTGGTTGATTTATGTGTTGTTCTTTAGGGATTTTTTTTGGTACTCTATTTCCTTAAGGGAGCTTTAGGGTGTTGTAATTCCTATGTACTTATTATGATTTTAATGAAATTCTAAGGCACTCTTTTCCTCCTTCCGTTGATTAAGGAGTTTTTTACGAGCTCCATTAATCATGAAGGGGGGTTTTTAATGAGGCCTCCTATTCTTATAAAAAAAAAGAATTGGGTGTTTCATCAGTTGGACATCAAAAATGCATTTCTAAACGGAAACTTGGAGGGGGAAGTATATATGCGAATTCCATCGGGTGTGAAGAGTAATACAGGTGATGATTGTATGGAAATAGAAAGACTGAAAAAATTACTGGCAAAGGAGTTCGAAACCAAGGACTTGGGAACTTTACAGTATTTCTTAGGCATGGAGGTTGCAATGTCAAAAGAAGGAATAGTGATCAATCAAAGGAAATATATCCTTGATCTACTATCAGAAACTGGAATGAAGGGATGTAAGCCGGTAGAAACACCCATGGAAGCAAATCTTAAGCTAAAGAAAGAAGAATTGGGAAGTCCCATGAACAAAGAACAATATCAAAGGCTAGTAGGTAAACTAATTTATTTATTACTTACTAGACCTGATATTGCGTTCTCTGTCAGTACAATGAGTCAATACATGAATGATCCGAGAGAAGAACATTTAGAGGTTGTGAATAGAATTCTAAGATACTTGAAAATGACACAAGGACATTTGTTAATTTTCATAAAGAGTGATGATAGAACATTAAGAATTTTTTCGGATTCAAGCTGGGCAGGTGAATTAATGGATAGGAGATCTACAACCAATTATTGTTCATTTGTTTGGGGAAATTTGGTTACTTGGAGAAGCAAAAAAAAGGTTGTGGTGTCTCGAAGTAGTGCAAAAGCAGAATTTAGAGCAATGAACTTGGAATTTGCGAAGTAATTTAGTTTCAAAGACTGTTAACTGAGCTGGGTTGTGCGCCAACAAATGTTTTGAACTTCAAAGTGACAGTAAATCTGCAATAAGTATTGCAAAGAATCCAATTCATCATGAATGAACGAAGCATGTGGAGATCGACAAACATTTCATCTCTGAAAAAGTGAATGGTGGATCAGTGAAGCTCAATCATGTTTCAACAAAGAATTAGTTAGCAAATATTCTCACCAAGGCACTTCCAAGAATTACCTTTGATGAGATTACATCCAAGTTGGATCTTTCAACATTTACTCCCCAATTTGAGGGGGAGTGTAGGTTATGCGATAAGTCTTATTAGTTAGTAATTTAATATAATACTAACTCTTAGAAAGTTGAATAGATAAGGATAACTACTAGTTGAATAGATAAGGATAACTACTAGATAGTTTATTTCTAACAGAAAACTTACTCCTAACTTTTCCTATAAAAGCAAGATGTACTTTCACCTATCAATAGACGTTTAAGACTTTTCTCTTCTCCACTATGTTGATTACTCTTTAATCAACAAAATCTGATAATGTATTTTATGGTATCTTACTGCCAAACACTTGTGTGTGATATTGGGGGCAAAAAACCTTAAATAGAAACCACTGTATAAAAGGTATCTAGCTTTGTTGTCTTTTTTTCTTATTTCAGATAGTTTTAGCATTTAGGTTCAGAAAGCATTTAACTTTGTTTTGTTTCTTTCTATTCCAGGCATCAGGTCAATCATTTTGTATCTACGTTACAGCAGTATGTACAGTCACAACTATCACATGTATCATGGTGCAAGTTTCTTCACTCCTCTAAGCACAAGGTTTAGGAAAATTCTTTTTCACATTGTATTGATCTCTTCAGCTTATTGTGGTTCAGTTTACTTTATTGGTTTTCGTGCATTGCCTGTCTGAAGCCGTCATTCTCTTCTTTGTTTGAGTCAATTTTTTCATGGATCTTCTTCTTACGGACTTTACTGAGATTATGGCTAACAGCATAGAAAATTGTAATTAGTAAAGCTGACCCATTGCAATGAGAAAAAAACATGGGTTGTTTTTATTGTTTGGTAAGCAACTATTTTTTTTCCAACCGTGCAAAAGAAGAAAAATTTGCAGTAAAACCTATCTCAATTGAAGAAATATTTAACTTAAAGAAAAAAACAAAACCATGCTAGATTGATTTTTATGAAGTATCCATGTACCAACAAAGTTATGTTTTGATTTCCTGACATTTTGCCTCATCTAACGCCTTCTTCATGGAGATTTTATATTTTGCTTTTCCTTATTATTTGTTTAACTACAAAGCCTTAAAAACTAATTGATGAACCGTTGAATCTCTTAATCCAAGGCAAAATGATCCGATGAAGTTTTCATCATAAAATAATGAGAACATCTTTTTCTATAGTTCTTTGCACCTGGTTTGTTAAGAAATGAGTAATCATGCTATTGAATCATTATGACATCGCACATTATTGAGGGGCTTTAGCGTTAGCTTTTCCCCTTCCATGCATCAAGTGTTTGCCTTCTCTTAATATCCAACCACAAACAAAAAGCCTGTATAGGATATGATGTTTGTAAACTTTGAACCAGAGCTCCTTACATCTGGAAGCGTGGGCACCTTTTAATCTTATATAGTCATATGATTTCTTATTTCTCTCCATAGGATACCCTAATCATCCTATCCTCTCTGTTTGTCCAGATTACTCTTGAAATGTTTTCCCTGTAGACTATAGTCAAATATTTTTGTGGAAGCAAATATGAACTCAACCCTATATCATATTTTTAACGCTGCTAGGTTATACAATAAATTTGCAGTGTGACTTGAAAAATAGTTTGGATTAAACCTTGACAAATTGCATTATTCTAAACTGCAATATTTGAATAAATAATATGTGGTATATATTTATGGTTTTTGTTTTATTTTTAATTTCTATGTCTATTATTAGTCCATTTCCTTATTGACTTTTACTTAATTCAGTTCTTGAGGGGAGATTTATCTAGTTTGTTGTTATGTTATTGAGACTTGTTCATGGTTCTACAGGTCAAAGATATGATGGATCTTGAGTTAGTGCACATGGCATATTTAACTGATTCACTAAATATGTAAGTGCTACTTCATTCTAGTTTGAAGTTTGAGCTAACATTTTAAGTTTACCTTTTTATTTTAGGGGGAAACATGGATCTTCTATTCTAGTCATTGGGTCTTACTGCCTTGATTTTCTTTGGACCAAGTTTTTAACCTAGAAATGTATATGGATGGAGCTTGGAACATATCACTCCAACTACCCGCCCCTCAAATTGCTTGAGCTTCTTGCTAAGCACCCAATCTAGAATCAATTGTAATAGGTGGAAGGATCCAACTTGACTATAAGATGTAGGATAACACTGGTTAATGGACCCCTCACATGTAACTCAACAAGGGCCTGCATATGGAAAACCTCACTTATGGTACAAAAGAAGAAAAAAATTATTGGATCTAATACCATATCAAGCACCGAATATAGAAGCAATCGACAATAAGTAGAAAGGTCCAACTTTAATATAAGACCAGAAGAAATTTAAGACTTAATGATGTGAGATAACACCTGTTACCACTTTCAACCATTGATAATTTGTCCTTATGTTGCTCCAACTCTTCACCTTTTTTTTAAAGAATCCATGGCTGACTCAGATAGGAGGAATGGGTATGGAAATATGACCTTCCAAGGACCCTCCTGTAAAAACTTAGAAATAATTGAATATACCACCCAGTTTGAACACATAACCTTTTCCTTTATCCTATACTCGAACTGCATTTTTTTTTGCCACATTTAGTTTGAACCAGAGATATAGTAGGCAGAATGACCTTTTCTAGCACGCTCATTGCATACTATTTTGGCATTTTTTGGCTTTGTAATAACTATGGATGATTCTTCACTAACATACATGTATACTTTGCAGATGTTTTCTATCTGATGAAACAAAACCTATAGCCAGTACCATAGAGAATATTTTGCAGTGTGCCCTAGATTTCCGGTCTTGTCTTACTGGTGGTATATGGAACACGGGACATGCGGAAGACGATTTACTGGATAAACTTTCTAGGATCAATGTATCTCAGGTACCCATCAAATTATGGTCTATATTTCATGCTGAAATCTATTGCATGCTACTGTGGTGGAGTTCCGAAGCCCGGGAATGAACTCCTTCAAGATTAACTGTAACATCCGCAATACCGGGTTAGTGACCAAATTGTAAAGTTTCAGAATTTGGTGACTAAAGTATAAGAATGAAATAGTTCAATGATTATTGGATATATATGATGAAGGTTAATTAGTAATTATTAAAGGAAATTAAGGGTTAAATGGTCATTTGACCAGAAAGATTTTTATCTTTCTTTTAAAGGTGATATAAACGTGGGAAGGGTGAGAAGAAAAGAAAGTTCTGGAGCTGGGTCATTTCCTTCCTCCTCTCTTCCTGTATACTCCATGGCAAAGGTAAGTTTAATTTCAGTTGGTTAATTCTTGAGTTTTAAGCTTAGTTTTGATTCTTTGGGTATTAAAATAAGCTTAAGGAAAGCTTATATGGGATTTAAACAATAAGATAAAGGAATTATGAAGGAATTTGCAATATGAGTTTTAAGATGAAATTTTGATATGGTATGGTTGTTGAAGTTTTATGGATGAATTTGACTTGTCATCAATCTAATTAAGAAATATGAAGTGTTAGAATTGGAATTAGAACACATTGAAAATTTGGTATGATTCTTGAATCTCATATGGAAGATAGGATTTTGAGGTTTAAGATGAAATAAATGAATATAGATTGATTTAAGTATGTGTACTAGAGTTAAGAATGAAAAGGGGATAATATATGAAGTGTTTGAGAGGAAATGAAGTAATTTTCGAGTTAAAAATATGATTTCTGGGCAAGGGGAATCAATACCCATTCAATTGGGAACCGATACCCCTTCAAACGAACAAAAATTTCCAGAATGTCATGAGGGAATCGATACCCCCTTAGTAGGGAACCGATTCCCCCTAAAGGAAAAATGTGAATATTGGTTTAATAAGTTCGTTTAAGTTGCTAGTATCCAATTACAAGGTGTAGGTATCTAATGATTGCCTCAAAATGTACATTTATGTAGATTCTGCGCGTAAAGCAATTCCGGAACATTTGGCAAGTAAGATCGATCAAGGGAAAGATAAGAGATTGAAATTGACTAGTGAGGCCAAGGTGAGTGCATACTAGTGACATGTAGTGTTTAATGGAAATAAGACTTGCGATGAGTCTATTTTCTAGAGTAATATGCATGAAGTCGTAGACATGATTATGTGTTGGTTATAACTATATGTGATTATATGTATTACATTGATTGTATGTATGCATGACTAAAGATAATGATATGATTTGTATATGCTATATGATTTATGTAAGACTTTATTATGTAATAATGGAAGAACATGGAATAAGTTATATGATAGAGTCATAAGAAATGAAATGAACATGAGAGAATAAGATAATCAAGTATAAGTCATATTATATGGTATAAGTGATTATACGAGAAATGTTAGGAGACTATAAGAGAATAGTATGAATTCGAGGGCATAAATAAGGATACATAAGTTATATAGAGAAGATTGATAAATTAAAGGAAACTATGGTTTATGTATTAAAGTGAAGAACTACAAAGTTTTATTAAAGAGTATTGTGGAAGTCATGAGAAATTGAACTAAATAAATAGATAGTTTATGTGAATAAAAAGGGAAAATGATATAAAATAAGTTATGAAATTATAGGAATATAGAAGATAAGTCGAGAGATGTAGGGAAATAGAAATAGATGTTTATTAAGGGTCATAGGAGAACAAATATATGTAATATGATAATGAAATATAAGACTATGTGGATACATGGTTATGAGATAAAATATGTAATAATAGGAAAATATGATGAAAGTGAGTTTATAAGAAGTGATATGAACTAGGTAAACATGGGTAACAGTATATGCATAATGGAAACATGAGTTGGACAAGTACCTAGTGGTATGATTTATTATGAGAATTAGTATAATGGAGCTATATGAAAAGATTATAATGAATATATGAAATTGAATTAAGTAAAGAGATTAAATTAGTACCTAAATAAAAATACTATTAAATGATATATGTTTAGAAATACGGCATAATTTATAATCTAAGGGAATACAAAGAAATAGAGCATAAGGTAGATAATATGGATATCCGTTATTATATATCTATATGATATATGTCATCAGGTAATATGAAAGGACTCTGAAAATTGATATAAGCTATGAGAAAGTGTTCTAGGTGTTTCTATGTGTTATATGAAGCATATATGATCATATGTGAACAAGATATGATATGTATGTTTATATGAACATCTGAGAAATTATCTAAGCTATATGATATGATATGTGTGATTATGTGCACTTTGTGATATATGTTATATGATATGGATCTATGTAACTACGTGAGAAAGTATATAAACTATGTGACATGTAAATGTGACTCATATGAAAATGTTCTATGAGTAATTGAACTATGTGTTATGTGAAATGATAAGTATAAAAGAAAATGCCCATGTTATGTGTCTTGAGAGCTAGGGGTATAGTTGGCATGCCAAGAGTTGAGGGTCTACGTGGTCCTTCGGGACATATATGTATTCTTTGGAACATGTGTGAAGTCTGGTGAGACACATACTTGATCCTTGGCATATGTATATGATTCTTAAGGAATGATATGTGGTCCTTCGGGACATATATATATTCTTTGGAACATGTGTGAAGTCTGGTGAGACACATACTTAATCCCTAGTATATATATATGATTCTTAAGGAATGATATGTAGTCCTTATGGACATTATTATATGGCACTACAGTGCAATTCTACGCGGCACTCCGGTGCAATTCTACGTGGCACTTCGGTGCAATTATACGAGCTGTGGTGACAGCATAGTGTACAACCTCTATAGACTCACATATCTATAGTTCTCACATGTGTACATGGGTTTTAAAAAGAGAACATAATTTGATATAATGATATGTGTATTTTTCGTGACATGGTAAAAGTGCATATATGTCTTGGTGATATGAGAACAATGTATGTGATATATGTATATGATTTGTGATATGATGTGTGCATATATGATATATGTGTGATAGGGGTTATGGTATCTGTTACATAATATGCATGAATATATGTTGATGTATATGTAAATGAGTTGTATAATTTGATAGCATAAAACAGTCATGCATGATTAGTGGGTATGAATTCCATTAGATGTGTTTTCTTTATGCCTCACTAAGTCTTCGACTTAGCGTGTGATTGTTTCACACGTAGGTTTCGAGAAGAGTAAAGAGTAATGCGGAGCAAGACAGGTCAGTTCTCCTTACCAAATGTCAGATCAGAAAATATATGTACTGTATATAGAGTGTAGTTGGCATGTAGTCTAAAGATATAAATTGTATGAACTCTAATATATATTTTGTAAACGTTTTGAATAAGTTAAATGTTATCAAAGTTTTTAAATTACTCACTATTTTATACGAATAAATGTTTGAAAAGTCAATGTGACACTTCGGACTCGTATCCGGATCGGATACGGGTTGGGGGTGTTACATTAACTGTTCACTATAAGATGCAGCCATTTAAGCATTCTTTGTCTCTGAACTAGCGCTCTTAGAAACTTGAATTTTGAGGAGTGTTTTTTTTAATAAAAAATTGCTGACAGACATTACATATTTGAATTCATTATCCATCTTTATTTCGTTGTGCTGTGCTTAGTGATGGTTTAGTTTATTCAGATTGTGGTAAATGGAATGTACTTCCATTTCTGCGGTTTAGTTTAATCAGTTTTGTGGATTACATTTGATGCCTTTAACTTGTTTTCTGCATATTGGTAACTAGGAGACAAACACATAATAAAACTTTCTTTTATTAAAATGTTGAGTAGAGGCATGGACTAGATTTTTGGAAAAAAGTAGAGAAGTCTTCGCAGCAAGTGAAATGATTTCAATTTCTTGGACTACTTACCGAATATTCTAGATGAGAGGTAATACCTAATTAGTGCACTAATTATGTTTTTTTTTTCTTCAGGTTCTTTCCATAAAAGAGAAGTTCGAGAAAAATCTTAAAGAACTGCATCTACTCTACCTCAAATCGCCTAAACACGGTGAATCTGGGCTTTCCTGTTTCTGGGGATATCTCAACTATAACGATTACTCTAACGAGAATGAAATGAGCTATTATGCTTTCTCAATCTGAACTCTTTTCCATGAAGATCAAAAGTGGGGAGTGATTTGTATTCTTGTGTGCCATAAGAACTCATGAAACAAAGCTCGAAGTAGAAGTCTGTGTTTCGGATTTAGATAATTTGTTGGAGTCTTGGCAGCAGCCAACCTGCATCATACCATCTTTGTTCGGCTGCTGTTGATGTTCATGCGAGGTAAGGCATCAACCCTTTATTTTGTTGGTCATGGTGCAGCAGTAACATGTTATTTGACATCTGTTGTGTCCCTTGTCTCTTAATTTAGGGTAAAGTCTATTTTTTTCCTTGACCTGAACCCTGAGGGATTAGACAATTGTATGTTGTATTTTATTTTATTATGCTTTCGAGTTTCAACAATTTACTATCTCATACCATTTCGATATAAACTGCACGCTTTAGTAATAATACCCCAACTATCACCTTTGTCTTGTTGTCACTTAATTATTTTTTAAATTATACTAGCGTTTACTTTTTATTTTATTTTTGTCACTTTCTGTTAAAAATTTAACGATGATGTTGATATGCCACTAGAAGATCACGTCATCATTAAAAAATGGTCACATAGTAGTTTTGTTAATTTTTTAATCGTTGATCATCAAAATAAAAGCAATCGTAATGTTAAATATGATTTAAAAAAAAAAAAAATTAAATGATTAAAATAGAACAAAAGTTGGAGTACTAAACACGTAGTTTATCCTTAAAAGTATCGTGAATTTGTAGATTATGAATCGTTTTGTATTTGCATACATGTGCGCATTTGTAATTTGTTTTATTATTCGTATTATGTTGAAGTTATTTTACTTGTATTATATCACTCTGCTTTACTGATATAATATAAATATTATATTTAAAACATCTAATTTTCTGCAATTGTTAACTATGTCAGTTTTTAACTTTTTATTTTATTTTGTTTACATTTGGAGTGTTCGGTTAGGAATGTAAATGAATAAAATGATGAATCAAGTTTGAACATATAAATTTTTGTTTATGTTTATTTATTTTAAATAAATCAATTAATTAATAAACGATTTTTTCATAAATATAAATAAATTGAATATGCTTTTATTCAAAACTATTTGTTTAATAAAGAAATAATTTTTTTATTTGTGCTTAGTTATAAAAGAATTGTTATTATTCCTTAAATGTTCTGGGTTCAAGTATCGGCAATGTCAGGGGTACAAGCGATTAATGTTAAATGGTTGAAAATTATTTTTTAATAGATATTATCTTGTACTTATATCAGTTTATTCAAAAAAGAAATTTGAATAACTTCTCTTAAATTAAATTTTAATGGAATTCGTGGGTTTTTCAAAACTTAATTGAAATCTAGTTCACATGATACTATTGAGAAAATTAGTTAGGGATTTGGAAGTTTAAAGAGAAGTTTAGAAAATAAATGGAAAGAAATTTAGTGAAGGAATAAATTCATGATACAAGCTGAAAAACTAGCCAATGCTTTGAGGTGCCCGTTTCTTATACGGTTTGTAATTTTTTTCCTCTCAATTTTTTTATAGTTTTGTTTTGATTATTTTTGGACTAATTCATGTTGCATATATGATTTTACTGCATAAGTTTTTTCGTGAATTTTTTATACATATAGGTATCAAACTTGAAACTTATTTAAGCGATATATACTAGGTATCAAACTTGAAACTTGTTTAAGCGATATCAAATTAATTTAAATGATTTTTGATTCGATGTAATTTATGTTTTATTTTTCTCAATGAAAATTTGTGAATAGTAAAAAAACAAGGGGATTAGGTTTAGCTGTTTTCTACAAAAAAAAAAATGCAAACGATCCAAAAGAGTGAAAAATCATGCACATTTATAAATAGTATATTTTTGTAGGGCTAAACTACTCCAATGGTCACTAATGTTTGGACAAATTTTTGTTTTTACTACTGATATTTTAAAAGTCATAAATCGGTCACCAACGTTATCGTTTGTTACAAATTGATCAATCGCCGTTAATAGGCATGACAGAAAACACACGTAGATCGTTAACAAGCTTACATGGATGGTATAATTACACAAATAGTCCATGTTATTTATATATTCTTTCAATTTGATACTAGTTTTAATAAATTTGATACATGTTATTTATAATGACACATGTTATCATTTGATTGGAAGACTAAATTTATTTTAATTTTTTTAATTTAATAAATTTATTTCTTCCAACCAGAGGGTGACACGTGAAATAATGCAAGCCAAACCATTGAGCCAAGACAACCACTTGATATATTTTGGACAATAAATGGTATATATCTTGTATCTTAGTATGTAAATGCTTTACACAAAATTAATAATATGTTATATATTTAAATTTTAAAATTATCTTTATTTTTGTTTTAACTTATTAAATATTTTTATTTTTGTCTTAATTTATTAAATATTTTTTATTTTTATTTTAATGTAAAAATATATATTTTATCTTTATCATCACTTAAAAATATATATTTTTAAATATCATAACTTGAAATATATTTAAATATTTTATTATTAATTTAATATAAAAATATATATTTTACTCTTATTTAAATTAAAAAATATATAATATTTATTCTTATAAAAATATATTTTATTCTTATTTTTAAAAGTTAAGATAATAATAAGAATAAAATATATTTTTTATAATTTAAGATAATAATAAGAATAAAATATATTTTTATAATTTAAGATAATAATAAGAATAAAATATATTTTTATAATTTAAGATAATAATAAGAATAAAATATATTTTTAATTTAAAATAAGAATAAATATATTTTTATAAGAATAAAATATTATATATTTTTTAATTTAAAATAAGAGTAAAATATATATTTTATATTAAATTAATAATAAAATATTTAAATATATTTCAATTTAAGATATTTAAAAAAATATATTTTTACATTAAAATAAAATCAAAATATATTTAATAAATCAAGACAAAAAAATATTTAATAAGTTAAAACAAAAATAAAGATAATTTTAAAATTTAAGATATATAGCATATTATTAATTTTGAGTGAAGCATTTACATACAAAGATAGAAGATATATAATATTTTTTGTCCAAAATATATTAAGTGGTTGCCTTGGCTCAATGGTTTGAGTTGTATTATTTCACTCAAGAGTCCTATGTTCAAATCCCCCCATTTATTTTTTGTTGCTTTATTTTCTTCCAACCAGAGGGTGACACACATTACCATCTGGTAGAAATAAATCTATTAAATTAAAAATAAATTTAATCTTCCAATATAATGATCACATGTGTAATCACAGGTGTGTAACTAATGACACATGTGTCATCACAGGTGTAACCAATGATATATAGTAGGTAAATTTATTTTAATTTATTAAAATTATGATCAAATTGAAAGATTATATAAATGATATGGACTATTTGTGTAATTATACCATCCATGTAAGCCTGTTAACGGTCCACGTGTGTTTTCTGTAACCAATTTGTAACAAACGATAACGTTAGTGACCGATTTATGACTTTTGAAACATCAGTGGTGAAAACGAAAACTTACCTAAATATTAGTGACCATTGGAATAGTTTTCCCTTTTTGTAGTGTGTTGCGTTTTATTTTGATCCACATTTTCAGGATTTATCCTCGTAATAATTGGTAAAAGAATATCATAAGAAAGTTAAATCGATTCCTTCAACTCTTATCATCATCTACTTTTAATCTATTTGGACTTATTGATCAGTAGAAAGGGTGAAAAGTTATTCCTGAGCAACAGTTAGAAAGTGATGTTTGGTCGATCATTCAAGTTTTCCATTTAATTTATTGTGAGTTTAAATTATAAGATTTATTTATTTATGGTACATGAATGTATTAATGAAAAACAATTACAATAAGAATGTTTTATTATTGTATCGTTGATTTAATTACAACAATGATATAATTCAGAAAATAAGTGAAATAAATTTCTTTAGATGGAGTTTTTAATTCTAACACGAAAATTAACAAAACCCAACCTTTCACGACAAAGTAACAACGACAACAACAAAGAAAATTGCCGCCCCGACTTCACCTTTTTAATCTTTTTTCTAATTCTGGCACGAAAATTGACAAAATCCAACATTTCATGACAGAGACAACAACAAAATGGGTCAGTAGAAGTTTCAGCGGTGATTCTAAAAAAATGGGGTAATGGGAACTTCACTCATCAGCTGTCCCAACGCCGGTTATCTGTCAGTAGTAGTTTCATGGGTCACCAAAGACAAAATACAAACACCACAAACACAGAGCAAACTTTAGTTTTTGCTGTTAATGGAGAACGATTTGAGCTCTCTGGAGTTGACCCTTCCACTACTTTGCTTGAGTTCTTGCGTTCTCAGACTTCTTTCAAGAGTGTCAAGCTTGGTTGCGGTGAAGGTCTGTATTTCTCTTTTTATTCCCTCGTGGTAGTAATTTTCTTTTCTTTTTTGGAATCTAAGACTCATTTAGGATCACTTCTTTCCAGTGGGTTAATGAATTTAATTTTAATGGGTTGATGGATCTGAAGTTCTCAATCATGCAATTGCCTGTAGACCATATGTGTGTTTCAATATTATAGTTGTATTTTGGTGGCTATTTCTTTGATGGGTACTTGGATTTTCTTCTTCAGAATCTAAAAGTTTATTTCTGCTGGTTTTAGTTTTTGTGTGTGTGTGTGTGTGTGTGCGCTTTTTATTAAGTAGAGAGATGTTTATATTGCCAAAGCAAATTCTGGGATTCACCAAGGTGGGATAACATGAGCATCCTTGGCAGAGGAAATACAAATCATTAATGTTCTGAATCTTAGACTACTGTGATAATTTGGAATCTTAGATAACAACAGCATGTGGTGACTCAAGTTAACTTTTTCGCATTGTGGGGATTGGATTTGTTTACAAATCAAACTAGCATGATTTTCTAGCTTGCTTATTTATTGTTACAGTTTCTTTATACTCTTATCAGCAAAATGTATGATTTCTTGTATGTCAGGAGGATGTGGTGCATGTGTTGTCCTGCTGTCCAAGTATGAACCCGTGCATGACAAGGTTGATGATTTTACAGTGAGTTCATGTCTCACACTACTTTGCAGTGTAAATGGATGTTCGATCACAACAGCTGAGGGAGTCGGAAATAGCAAGGATGGGTTCCACCCTATTCAGGAAAGGTTTTCTGGTTTCCATGCTTCTCAATGTGGTTTTTGTACTCCTGGAATGTGTGTTTCTCTGTATTCGGCAGTTGTTAATGCTGATAAAACCGGTAGACCAGAACCACGTCCGGGATTCTCTAAGCTAACACTTTCCGAAGCAGAAAAGTCTATTTCAGGTAATCTTTGTCGTTGTACTGGTTATCGACCACTTGCAGATGCCTGCAAAAGTTTTGCTGCGAATGTTGATTTGGAGGATTTGGGATTTAACTCATTTTGGAGGAAAGGAGAAAGTGATGAGGTGAAACTGAGTAGATTACCTCCACACAATTGTAACAAAGCAACTCGTGTGTTTCCTGAGTTTCTAAAGACGGCGACTAAGGCAGGTTTCAATCTGGAATCTGAGGGGTGTCGCTGGTACAGCCCTGGTAGTCTTGAGCAGCTTCAAAGCTTGTTGCAAATGGATGAGGTGAATGATGTAACCTCGCTCAAGATTGTTGTTGGTAACACGGGAATGGGTTATTATAAGGAACTAGAACATCACAAGAAGTACATTGATTTGAGATGTATTACGGAGCTTGCAATCATTAGTAAAGATCAGTCGGGCATTAAAATTGGAGCATCTGTGACAATTTCCAAAGTTATTGAAACTTTGAAGGAAGAAAATGAAGACGGAATTGATGAAGAAGCTAAACTTGTTTTCAAAAGGCTTGCTGACCATATGGAAAAGATTGCAACAGGCTTCGTAAGGAATTCAGCTAGTATAGGAGGAAACCTCATAATGGCTCAGAGGAAACGTTTTCCATCAGATATTGCGACAATACTGCTTTCTGTGGATACAATGGTTGATATATTGACTGGTGACAGACATGAAAATATAACACTGGAGGAGTTCCTTGAGAGGCCTCCATTAGTTTCCAACTGTGTTCTTTTAGGAATTAAAATTCCTTTCTGGAAGTTGAGTAGGGATATTTCTTCCAAGACATATACTAAGTTGCTATATGAGACCTATCGAGCTGCACCCCGCCCTATTGGAAATGCACTTTCCTATTTAAATGCTGCTTTCTTGGCTGAGGCTTCTCTTTGTAAAAATTCTACTGGGATTGTGCTAAATAGCTGTTGTTTGGCTTTTGGTGCTTATGGAACAAAACATTCGATTAGAGCAAGGAATGTCGAGAAGTTTCTATCAGCTAAGTTGCTAGATGTCAGTGTTTTCTACGAGGCTATTAAGCTACTTGAAAGTACTGTAATACCTGAAGAAGGTGTTGCCAGTCCAGCTTACAGGACCAGCTTGGCCGTTGGCTTTCTCTTTGAGTTCCTAAGCCCCTTAATTAACAGCCACAATGATATTTCTAGATTTTGGCTTGATGGATATAATGGCGATTTGCTGTTTAATGATTCCAAAGTAAAACAGAATTTTGACCAGTTCGATCAAATCAAATCCCCAACTTGTTTATCACCTGCAAAGCAGGTGATTCAGTTAAACGACAAATATCTTCCAGTTGGAAAGCCAACTATAAAAGCTGGAGCTATTATCCAAGCATCTGGTTTGTCATATCTTATTTCTTATTCTTTGATCTGGCAGTACATTAACTACCTTTTAGGCTCCCTTTGCGTTTTTTTCAGTTGCTGCTTCATTGCTTTATTTTCCTACAAAATGGTTATAAAAAAAAATAGCAAAAATACAAAGAGCATATTTGATAAACATCTAATGCCAATGTTGCTTATCTACCATATTGTGTAGGTGAGGCTGTTTATGTGGATGACATTCCATCTCCAAAAGACTGCCTGCATGGAGCATTTATTTATAGCACTGAACCTTTGGCATGGGTGAAGGGCATAAAATTGAAGCCTGAAGCATCACTTGACGGAGTCTCCGCACTTATTTCTTTCAAAGACATTCCTGGAGAGAATATAGGGGCTCAGACCATATTTGGTGGTGAACCTTTATACGCAGATGAGCTTACTCAATGTGCTGGTCAGCGCATTGCCTTGGTGGTAATTCCATGGTTTCCCTTTTTGTTGCTTTCCCACACATATGGCCTATGTTTTTTAGTTTCTTTTGGTGTTCACAATATTGATTGCAATAGAATGGTAAAAAAGTTTCCTTTAATGCTTTTGATGTCTAATATCATAAATAAAATGACATTTTGAAGGCTTGAGAGTTGAGTCTTGGTCATATAAACAACTATTTCAGGTTGCAGATACACAGAAAAATGCAGACATTGCAGCCGACCTTGCAGTGATTGATTATGACCAGAAGAATCTAGAACCAATATTATCTGTAGAAGAGGCTTTTGAGAAATGTAGCTTTTTTGAGGTCCCACCTTTCATTTACCCCGAACCAGTTGGTGATTTTTCAAAAGGAATGGCCGAAGCTGACCATCAAATTGAATCTGCTGTGGTAATTATCATATTAACTTGTACATCCCATTTTTGCATCTTTTTCCCCTTTGAAACATAACCTTGACAAATTCATATCTCTTGGTTTTTAACCCAGATCAAGGGAAGTTGCTCATTTCTTATTTTATTTTTATTTTTTAAAATTGTCTAGCTCAAACTTGGATCGCAATACTATTTCTATCTGGAGACGCAAACTGCTCTTGCTGTGCCAGACGAGGACAACTGCATTGTAGTATACAGTTCTAATCAATGCCCTGAGTTTGCACATGATACAATAGCTAAATGCCTGGGTGTTCCTGGACATAATGTTCGTGTGATTACAAGAAGGGTCGGAGGAGGATTTGGTGGAAAGGCCATAAAAGCTATCCCTGTAAGTAGCATTCTGCCTCAAATGCTTACTTTTTTTTTATAAGAAGTGGAGGCCTCGTTAAAAACCCCCTTCATGATTACGAGAATACCATAAAGTGTTTCAGAAATCAGCGGAAGAAAAAAAAGTGCCTCAAATTTTATTAATTAAAAGAGTAATACAATGCATATGGTTACAACCAAACCTTTCCCCCATACAGTAGACATAACCAAAAGACGAGAAAAAAACAGAACCAAACCAAAACTCCCTATCTTAGCCAATTCCAGACTTTGCTAAAATGTCTGCCTCTATGTTTGCTGGCCTAGCTATCCACCAAATAGTACTCTCCAAGTTCCTAATCTTATCCGCAATATCTTTAGAAATTGAAGCATACAAACTAGGGCATTTATCCAAATTCTTAATCCACTCCACACACAATTTACTATCGCTCTCAATAATCAACCGTCCCTTAGAGCACCAGCTAGAAGATTCAAAGAAAATTAAACCATGTTTAATGGCCTTTAATTCCATTAAAGAAGGAGGACTCGGGCCAGCAGCTTCTTGAAAGGATCCTAGCACTGTGCCGGAGTCATCTCTTAGAATCCCACCTAAACCGCTTGCCTTCTAATCACCTTTGACAGCAGCATCCACATTCAGCTTTAGAAATCCCACAGGGAGAGGGGACCAGGAAATCTGATTTTCTAGCTGACTTTTTGGAGCAAAGCATATATCTCCAAGAGATGGATCACCAATGAGGGAATCCATCGAAATGGGAGTGTTAGAGAATTTTTCTAAGAACCAAGATGCTAATCTGAACCTTGCTGTGAAGAGCAATTGAATCGGATTGAACACTCCCTTCTCGAAAACAACGGCATTCCTACATTTCCAAATCGTCCACAAAACTACACCAGGAATAAAAGTCCAAATCGTTGAATGAGGCACCAATTCCTCCCAAGCTGAAAGAAAACAGTGTGCACCTTTGTAAGGATTGACAGGTTCCTGGTGGATGCTAATTTTATGACTGCTTTTCCAGAAATCACTCAGTTTCTCCTCCCAAAGTCAATCTCAGATCACAACGCTGTTATACTTGAGAATGGTTAAGAGACCTTTTAAGCTATTTAATTACTTAATGGAGGAGGGTTTTGAGGAGATGGTGCTTTTGACAATCATAGATCATAAAAGAAAAGAGCAGGAATCTTAAGTATTTTGAGAAACACGAAAGCAGCCATAAAAAATTGGTCTGGAATTAGAAATCTGCAACCGACTGTTTCAATTTCTGCTGTAGAGGGGAAAATACACAATCTGGAACGGAAATTGCAACAGCATCCTGAATCGGTTGGAATAGTCACTTCATTGGCTGTGCTGAGGAAGGAATTATGGAAACTGTACAAAACTGAGGAGCACACTGCTTTCTTTAAAATATAAGGACAGTAATAATGAATTAGGGCTACTATACTAATTTCATACTAGTATTTTTGGACTAGAGATTTGTTGTGTATAGTCGAATGAATATAATACATGTGGCTGATTCTGTTTCTATCAGTATCTTATACTTTTTTAGTGTAGTATTATATAAGTATATAAATTGAAGGAAACAACATCACATAGGATACAAAAGGTACAGTAAGCATCCAGTTGGAGGTTTATGAACTTTGTACTTCTTGATGTGTATTCAAGTGATTCTTGGTCCTCTTTGTGACTAACATTTATGTTGAATTGAAAACTTAAAGTAAGCCGCTATGGTTGTGCTAATTGTGTTGCTTAATAATAGTCCTACCGACTTCTTAAAATGTGATTTTATAGGTTGCTACAGCATGTGCTCTTGCTGCTTACAAACTACACCGTCCAGTCAGGATGTATGTCAATCGCAAGACTGATATGATAATGGCAGGAGGAAGGCATCCGATGAAAATAACTTACAGTGTAGGATTCAAAGATAGTGGGAAGATTACGGCCCTAAAACTTGACATATTAGTCGATGCAGGGATGTCAGCCGATATTAGTCCAGTTATGCCACATAACATAGTTTGTTCACTTAAAAAATATGACTGGGGTGCCCTAGCTTTTGATATTAAGGTATGCAAAACAAACCTTCCAAGTAGATCGGCAATGAGAGCCCCTGGGGAAGTACAGGGATCATTTATTGCTGAAGCTATAATGGAACATGTGGCATCCACCCTTGCCCTGGAAGTCGATTCTGTCCGAAGTATTAATCTCCACAAGTATGAAAGCCTTGAATTGTTTTACAAGACCTGTGTGGGGAACCATCAGAGTACACTTTACCTTCTATATGGGATAAGTTGGCTGCGTCTTCAAGCTTTTACCATAGGACTGAATTGTTGAAAGAATTTAATAGATTCAATAAATGGCGGAAAAGGGGAATTTCGAGAGTACCTATTGTGCATCCGGTAATGTTAAGACCAACCCCAGGGAAAGTAAGCATTCTACGGGATGGATCTATTGTTGTTGAAGTTGGAGGAATTGAGCTCGGTCAGGGTCTTTGGACAAAGGTGAAACAGATGGCTGCATATGCTCTTAGTTTGATCCAATGTTGTGGAACTGAGGAACTTTTAGAGAAGGTGAGGGTCATACAAGCTGATACCCTGAGCTTAATTCAAGGTGGTTTTACTTCTGGCAGCACAACATCTGAGTCGAGCTGTGAAGCTGTTAGACTTTGTTGCAATATCTTAGTCGAGAGACTTACTGCTCTCAAGGAGAGGGTGGTGGAGCAAATGGGATCCATAAAATGGGAAACACTGATTCTTCAGGTATCTATCTTCAATTGCGTATTCTACTTCAGCTCACAATAGTGGGATTGAAATTTATCATCTGTTTTTTTTTCCTTTTAAGTACTTGATCTTACATAATTATTTGTTTATAGTAGCAGATTGCTCAAGATAAAATTATATTTTTGATCATATCAATGTATTGCAGTTTCACACTATTAATCTTCCACATGCAGGCATATATGACTTCCGTGAACTTGTCAGCAAGTACGTTATACATACCAGACTTTTCTTCCATGCAATACCTAAACTATGGTGGTGCAGTGAGTGAGGCAAGTAAATCAATGCCTTATATTTTGCTCATCTCTGTTCATTCCAGTCTTTGTTGAAGTGAATCTTCACATTCCACTAACTCTGTTTTAGTTTGCAAAATGAATTCTCTAAAATATTAACCTTATAGTTGATAATCGTGTGTCATTGCAGGTGGAGGTAAACCTTTTAACTGGGCAAACTACAATATTGCAGACAGATATCATATATGATTGTGGCCAAAGCTTAAATCCTGCTGTGGATTTAGGACAGGTAGGCCCGAAGCAATCCCTTCTGATCCTTAGAATTAAAATAATTCTTCTGTAACCTTTACTATGCTCTTTTTTTCCCATGTCAAGCATGCTTAAATCCATCATGCTATAGTATATATATGCCATCGGACATGGAAGTATTTCTGTCTCGACTTGCAGCAGTTGGGAGTGAATAGGATTTAAGATGATATTAAATTCAAGAATTAAAAGTTCTCTTTTTTCAGATCGAAGGAGCTTTCGTTCAAGGAATAGGGTTCTTTATGCTTGAAGAATACCCCACAAACTCGAAAGGGTTAGTGGTTGCGGAAGGCACTTGGTCGTATAAGATCCCTACGGTGGATACTGTACCTAAAAGGTTTAATGTTGAAATCCTGAATAGTGGACATCACAAAAATCGTGTACTTTCGTCCAAAGGCAAGTCCAGATTCTTATTGAACAGAGTCTTGTTGGCCTGTTTTCTGCAACATCAATCTCCATTTCTATTTGACTTTACCATTTGGTTTCTATTTGTTAATGTTTGCACTTAATTCCCGTATCATTTTGGACAAACTTTATCTCATGTTTTTACATGCTGACCTGTTCATTAATGTAGGTTGTTACTCTATATTTGGTTCAGTTAGTGGCCTAACCTCACAAACTCGAAACAAAAACTATTAACGTAGTTGTTAAGTCTAGTAAAACCAATTGCAGTCTAAGCATAGATAGCTGTAGGAAAAACATTAGTCTGAAGTTCGAATTCCTATAACTCCATATATTCGATTATCGAGAAACACTTACCCTGAAGAAACTGCTTTATAGTCCCACAAACACTGGTTGAAAATGCACACCAACAATGAAAAGGATATCATAGAGCTTTTGTTACGGAGTAGTTAATACTCTGCTTTGTCGTTCTCTGTCTATACTATCTGTTGTAGGTGGTACCGTAGTCTGTACTTGAGGTGATCAAAGATGTTGCTTTTCAATGTTGGTGTTAGTTCATGCATTGGACACGGGTTATAAAATCATAAAGTTATGAGACCGGTAAAAACATGATACTTATCAACTTGCTCGATCTGTGCCTTTTGCAGCTTCCGGAGAGCCACCGTTATTGCTAGCAGCGTCGGTTCACTGTGCTATAAGAGCAGCCATAAAAGAAGCCAGACAACAACTTCATTCATGGGGTGGCCTTGATGAGTCTGTCCGGACATTTCAGTTGCAGGTACCTGCCACCATGCCTGCCGTGAAGGAGCTTTGCGGACTCGATAATGTTCAGAGGTTCTTACAGTGGACATTAGGCAGTAAGCAACGGGAATCTGCAGGCTGTCAGGTTTAAGTTATTTTGCAGTTCCTTCACACAATCATCCTAAACGGAATTTCAGCAAAATACTGTATTATATGTCAATGTAATATTTTAGCTAGAATTTTTCGAACAGATGAAAAAATCCCATGCATACAACATCCCAACAATAAACAAATTTTCTCCGGAAATGTATTATGTTTATTTCCTTTTAATTTTTTAATTGATTTACTTTCACATTGATATGGAAAAATAACAATTTCCTAAAGTTACGTATTTACTTCCATAGATTACTAATTTAGTATAATTTTTTAAGAAAGAATTCATAAATTAAATATGGAATGTTAAAAAAATAACATTATTTTGGATATTTGTGATCAATGTTTTCAATTATTACTGATACGCTATTAAAAATTATTAATTTTATCATTTTTATATTTAAAACCATGTTCAAACCTGTTTCTATTTATAAAATTCAGTTATTTTGTTTTCAAAAATAATAAATACATAAAAAAAAGAATAACTATTTTCCTTGTAAATATTTTTCTATTCTTATTTCATAATAATAAATTTAAGTTTAACTATTAATTTGATAGTAAAGTAAAGATTATAACAATTTTAAGTTTTTAACTAGTTACTCTTATTTATACCTATAATATACATATAAAATTAAAAATATATTTATACGCACATTATTTATTATTAGAAATTAAAAACAGAAAATATGAAGAAAAACATAAATTTTTAGATTAAATAACAAAAAATTATCCAATTATGAGAAAGTCGTGTTGACTGAGGATTCCTGTTAGAAAAAACTGAAGAAACAGATGTCCAAAAAATCAAAATTCCTAAACCTTCCAAGTTCAAAACCAAAACCTATTTCTTTTCATTTCCATTGCAAAATAAAAGCTTCAAGAAAGTTCATTTTGAACGCAAAAGGCCGGCAAGCAAAAACATATGGATCCTCAGAATCAAAGCGATTTCTTAGCTCAGTCACTGACACGGGATTCTACAACTCAGTGGACTCGTTTGGAGGATAAGCTGTTTGAGGATGCGTTGGTTATATTCCAGGAAGAAACCTCTGATCGGTGGCAGAGGGTTGCCGACAGGATTCCTGGAAAGTCGGCGAGAGAAGTGAAAGAGCATTTTGATGTGCTTGTGCACGATCTTTACGAAATCGATGCCGGTCGAATTGAAGTTCCTAATTATGCTGATGATTCGTCTGTGTTATCGTCAAGCTGTGATTCCGAAAATCAGATATCTTTCACTTCAAAATCTAAACAACAGCAAGCAGACAACGAGAGAAAGAAAGGAACTCCGTGGACAGAAGAGGAACACAGGTATCTTAATTTTTGTTTTATATTCTTTTTGTAATAGAATTTTATGATAGATTTTAAAATCTGGAAACGGTTTTATCAATAAAAGTGGTGTTTTAGGTGTATTATATTGACTTTTAAGTCGGTTTTGAGTAATCAACAAGAAGTGATTTATCTAAATCATATTGTCAAAGGATTAAAAAAACCAAAAAGAAAGAAAGAAATCTTCATGAAGATTTTTATACTGCTTGTTCTCATTTTATCTGTTATTGAATTGAATGAATCATCAGTTTCTTCAACTAATTTTCACTGATATGACAAAACAGGTTAAATCTTCATGGAGATTTTTTTGCATTGTATTGATTGATTTTGTTCGTAGAATTGTTAATCAATCATTCTGTTGTTGATCGGGTAGGTGCTATTTTGATTCAAGTAGTTGTTCTCCTTTTATCTTTTGTTGAACTGAATGAATGATTTACTTTCTTCATCTTATTTTCACTGATATAACAATCGGATTAAACTTTCATAAAGATTTTTTGCATTTTATGGATTGATTTTGTTCATAGGAATGTTAATCTACTGTTCTGTTTTCAATTTGATGCTACTTCTTCTTTTATCTGTTGTTCAACTGAATGAATGATTGCCTTCTTCAGCTCATGTTTATTGATATGGCAAACAGGTTATTTTTAATTGGTCTGCAGAAATTTGGCAAAGGTGATTGGCGGAGTATATCAAGAAACGTAGTGATAACTCGAACACCAACTCAAGTGGCTAGCCATGCTCAGAAATACTTTCTCAGACAGAGCTCCATAAGGAAGGAGAGAAAAAGATCGAGCATCCATGACATTACAACAGTCGATAACAGTATGGTCGATGCACCTGTTGAGCAAAATTGGGGGTCAAGTGGTCAGGCATCTTCACTGCAACAATTGCCCTGTCCGAACTACTTACCTTCTGATGACGGGTCCTTAGTGTATCAACAAAACTATGGTTTTCCAATGTAGAGATAGATCAGAGCTCCAAACTCTGTATATATGTATATAAACCCAATTCCCTATCTATATTCATGTAAGCAATTTGTATATCTTGATGTTTACTCTAGTTTTGAGTTTTGGTGTAATTGTAGCATGTACTAAAAGTTGAAATCGATAGTTCTAAAAGAATAGTATTTGTTATTTCAAAACAGGTTAAGAAAAGGTAATGAGATCATTCTCAGACATTGATGTTGCATGCTTCGAGTGTTGGAGACAAATTCTTTATGTTTTAGCATAACTGTTTCAACTTTCACCATCTTTTATCTTCTGCAGCTTGACACTATTGCAGTCTTATTCAATTCTTTGAACTTATCTGCACTTTCATATGTACCTAACTTTTCATTCATGCAATAGCCTATAGAGTGGCAGTGACCGAGGCAAGTCTTTATTGCTCGTTTTTCTTTCAAGTTCATCTTAATTCTCAATTGATTTGGACCAACTTGACTGTTAATTTGAATCTGTAGCATTGCAGATGTAGGTAAGCCTTCTAACAGCCAAAACAGCAAGACTGCGGACCGATATTCGAAGACTGTGAGGGCAAAGCTTAAATCCTTGTGTGGATTTAGGACAGGTTAGCTTGGATATGATATTACTTTGCGCGACTTAAATTTAAAACGGATTCTCTGTAAGCTTAGCTTGTATTTTTTTTTAGTCTTGGTCTTTAATATTGAACCGACCCTTCATTTTTCTTGAAGTAGCTTGAATGTATACTGTGTAATATAAATTCCATTGTTTAAATAGGATACTTTGTTCAAAGAATTGGGTCTGGGTTAGGCTTTGGCCTATACATGGAGCTTGGGTTCAAAAAGAAAAAAGAAATCTTAAGTCTCAACGTATGAATATCTATACATCCTTCCTTGAACAGGATCTGGAATCTGGACTTGAACAAAAGAAAAAAGAAAAGTCTCAACGAATGAATATCTATACAACGTATGAAAATCTTAAAGTAATTTTAAAAGAAATTGGTGTTTTTATGTTTTTGGAATTTTTTAATAATTTTATAGTGTTCTTCCCTTTATAATAGTAGTAGTAATAACATAGCTCTAACGTTGGGATTTTTAAAGTTATAATGTTGGGATTTTTAAAACTTTTAAAACTATTCATTTAATTAATAGTGAAAAATAATTTTAAATACCTAATTTTTATTTTATCGAATTTAAATCTATAACAGTTGTTTAGATCGAGTATGGACAGTAATTGACCGGGTACATACTTTAATAATTAAAAAAAATCAAACGAATTAGACACATATTAATACAATAATTATAAGGAGTACGTACGTATCTTTGATTGACGTGGATGATTTTTTTTAAAAATACAACTTCTAAATTTAATTATAAGGAGGAAAAAAAGAACATAAAAAAGAGAGAATGTTTTTAGTAGGTTTAGAATCTACTGCTTCAAAAATAAGAGAATAAAAATGATTAGTTTAATCAACTGATTAAATATACGTGTTTGGAATGCATTTTTTAATCATTAAAGAGAGGTCATATACATATTTAACTACTCAATTGAACTTTATATTTTGACGTTTGTTGTTAAAAAGAACATAAATTATAAATAAATTTGTTCATGAATAAGATTTATTAAACCATAAATTTAGATATTGAAATCAAAAGTATACATTAATTTAGATATTGGAAACAAGTTACAAAGAGTTTAACGTAGAGTACAAAATAGATAAAAATGAATAAATATAAAAAATATAGAATACAAAAGAAATTTTAAAATAATAATTATTAAACCATAAATTTAAAGGGTAAATTACAAATATAGTAGTTGAACTTTACTCTCTCTTCTATTTCACTCATTCTACTTTAAATTTTTTTCAATTTAATCATTAAATTTTATACATTGAATTTTTTTGTTAGCCCTTAACTTTTTAACGACATTATGATGTGACTCGAATATATAATTTTTTAACCATTAAATTCAAAATTAGAAAAAAGAAAATAATTAAAAATATATGGTAAATGAGAACAAGCAACTTCCTAGGGTTGTTCATTCGGTTAATTCGGTGGCCGAACCGACCGAACTACCATTAACCGAATTAACCGAACTTTTTTTCTTTAACCGTTAACTGAATCGAACTTTTTTTTCGAAAATATTAACCGAACCGAATAAATTCGGTTAATTCGATTAATTTTTGAATTAACCGAATTTTTTTAGAATTTTAAAATTTAATATTTTTTAATTAAAAAAAACAGTTTACAATATCTAATTAATTTGATTCAAGCATTATATTAAAATAAGATATTTGTATCTATCAATTTAGTTCAAACAAACCAACAAATTTGAAATTCTACAAAATAAATGGTGCATGAAGGTTGTGCTAACTGCAACTCGACAGCTACTATTGCAGTATTGCTAGGTGAAATGCTTGATTTTTCTGATGCTACAATCAGGAAGATAGCTAGCTCCTTTGTGCAGGACTTACTACACAAGCCTCTTGAACATGAAGTGGATGATGAAAGCAAGAAAGTTGTGATCGGAGATGGCATAAACTTGGGTGGCGACCGAGATTGGGCTAATGCAGTGGCAAGGTTGGTGAGGAAGGTTCACTCTGCTGCTGGTTGGAAATGTTTGTAGCACTGTATCTTTTATCTTTCCCACTTCTGAGAAATGCTAAGAACTACTATCATTCACTATTTGATCTTTCTGATGCATTAGGGAAATTATAGGCAAATATATCTACTATGCATGATGGGAAGATTAGAAAGTTTAGATTAATGTATTACACATTCAAGAAATAACTGCAAGTTCCTATGCTGTCAAACGCGTGCTCCACCTGCCTATGTTCGTGCCCATACCTTACACAAATCAAGGCATAAAATAATTGATAACCGAGTAGCAGGAAGTGGGGGGCAGTATATGGGGTGAAAAAAATAATAAAAAATATTTAAGGATTTATTCGGTTAATTAATCGATTTCGAATCGAATTAACCGTTAACTGAATTCTAAAAATTTTCTTAACCATTAATCGACCGAACTACCGAATTAACCGAACTAATTCGATTTGATCGGTTAACCGAATTCAAACCGAAAATTTGAACACTCCTTCCATTTGAGGGATTCAAAACCAAAACGAGCAGCTCCTCGATTAAGCTTTCTTTGCTTGCTATTGTTATTTAAGGGAACGCTTCTAGAGACAAAGAAAGAATAAAAACTTTCATTTTGGGAGGAATAGTATCAATTGGTTTTTCAAAGTCAAGCTCCTCTAGGAGGGTGAGATAACGCGACAGACCAGAGGAGGAAGAAACGAAGCCAGGGTCCCAAAGGAGTAAAACAAACCCATGATCGTTTAGGAGGTTTTTCAAAGCTTAAAAGCTAGGCAGAGTAAGGAGCTACCAGATGACGATCAAACCACTTCTTTTTTTGCTAAGGCTTGTTAGGAGGTAAAAGAAACTAGGGCTCATATGTATCAGGATTTTCTATTATTCTGATTGTTACTGTGATTGATTTCTTGATTTTTTTCAACTGCCGACTCCGACCATAGAAATTCTTATGCGGGTTCGTAGATTTTGCTTGGCTCGCTAATGAATATTGATTTTCGGTAATGAAGATGACATTCCTAAATACAGATATAACTGTAAAAGTATATATCAAGAAGGGAAAATATTATAAAGATTTGGGTTTGGATAAAGATGGATTATTTATGTGTGGTTAATAAAAATCTATCAACTCATCAATGGAAAAACCAACAAAAAGAGAAAATTTGAAGAAGAGGAAAATGTGAGTTGAATTCGACATTTGATGGAAAAGATTTGAATTTGGGTACCCGCAATCGTTGATTTCATCTTGTTCTTCTCTCTTTCCCCATTTAAATGTTAGGAATTTTAATTCCAATAAACCTTAAAAAAGTATATATTGAATTTTATTTTATTTTATTTTATTTAATTATAAATCTTATGTGACATGTTGTAATAATAAAATGAACCACATATACACTCTGCTAACGAGAAAACGATGAAGTGATCAAAAGAATTTAATGTATAAAATTTAGTTATTAGATTAAAAATTTTAAAGTATAATGATTGAAATAAGAGAGAGAGTAGAGTTTAGTCATTAAATTTGTAATTTATCCAAATTTAAAAAGACTTAATACCCAAATAAGTGTTCAAATTATACTTTTTTTCTAAATAGGTGCTTATAGTATTTTTGGGACTATCCATGTGTAACGTTACAAACGTGATCACTATAGGTACACGGGACGTAATGAGAGTTAATTTTTTTCCATTAAATGGCATATGTCAAAATTTGATTATTTTAAAATTTATTTTTTAAAATATTAGAAATATTATTATATTTATAAAAAAAATTAAATTACAAAAAAAAACCTCAAAAATCCTAAATTCTTCAAATCCTAATATTAATCACTTTTCCAACTACGATCACTATATCGATGTAGTCACTATCATTATCCTAATTATATGTTATTGTAATTATCACCAATTGATCGTCGAATACGTATGATTGCAATTCGAGAGGTATAAACCATGACAAAGACCTTCGCACCCAAAGAGTTGGGGGGCCTCTCATGCTGCACGTGGCTCCGCCTCCGCCCTTTATATTTTAATAATACTTTTTTCCCTTCTGAAAAACACTGTCATAATGGATTTAATGGTATAAATAATGATTTTTTTGGTCTGTTAACTAATACCATTTTATTATGTAAAGATTTTACAACCTTACGATAGGATAATATAATTATATAAAATTAAATCACTATTAGATTTATTTATAAAGCTCAAATATGCCTTTGTCACGTTTCGAAAAATTAGAGAAAGTTTCCAATATAATACTTAAAATAATATGACAATAATTGTGCTTTTCTTTAAAAGAAATAATTGGGTAGAGATTGAATGATTGGTTTGATGGTAAAACAGTAGTTAGCCTTCACTTAAGTCGAGCTCAAGCCGTAATGATGGTATTATGTGTATAATAATAAAAGAAATTTAATAATCATAACTTATTTATTTTAAATATTAATTTATGTTATATTTACGTATGAGGGTGTGTGCAATTATCAATAACTATTAAAAAATTTAAAT